CCCACATCGGGCTCCCTCCTCGGCAGGAAGCCTGCTTCTCCCTCTCCCTCTCCCCCTGCTTGTGTTCCCTCTCTCGCTGTGTCTCTCTCTGTCATATAAATAAAATCTTTAAAAAAAAAAAAAAAAGAGGAATAGGGAAGGTGGTGAGCAAGCAGCTTTCATTTAAGGCTGAGACCCAGAAGGTGCACACATCACCACTACTCCTGTACCATTGGCTACACCTGGAGAAGCTGGGAATGCGGTTTTTGATTGGGAAGTCATGTGGCTCGTTAATATTTAGGGAGTGCCGTCACTCAGAAGAAGAGAGAGTATCTTCATCCTTTCATTTAAGGATGAAACCTAAAGAGTTAGAAAGAGCCCAAACTTTATGTGCCCAAGCTATGTGCGAAATCTCTGTGCCTCCTTTTCTGAAAACTGAAAATGCTTTCAGGATTGTTAAAAGGATCAAATAATCCCATGAATATCAATTTGTTGCCAGGGTGCTTAGCACATAGTTGATGCTTATTTCTATATACCACTCTTCCCTTTTCTTTAAAAGTTGATAGCAAGAAATTCAAGGAAAGTCACTATTCTTGCATATAAGGCATCCCCTGTCTGGCCTCCTTGCTGGATGGGCTCCATTATCCCACTCTCTGGCCTCTTCCCCTTCATTCCTTTGTCAATATCTTACCAGAGTCCCTTTGCTAAAATATGCTCCCAAATATATCAATAACAATAAATAACTTTTTTATTAATATTAGTATTGGGGCTAATCCTGCCATAACCTCCATTTTATAGGTTTGGAAACTGAGACACAGGGAAGGCAAATGCCCCCAAATCACACAGAAAGTCACAGGTGAATTCAGATTTGTAGGACTTCACAGTCCAAGCTCTTAAATACTCACTTACATTATATCTCCTAGTCAAACATCTCCAGACTTCTAATTACAAACAAAACAGGATTCAAACTATTTCACCTGGCATGAAGACTCTCCTCAATCTAGCTCAGATTACCTTGCCAGCCTTGTCTCCTATCTCCTTACTCAAATGAGGAGATACTTTTCCCAGGAACCTCTCCTAGCGCCTGGGCCCCCTATGTGCTTCTTAACTTGCCCTCATCGAATGATTTATTGTACAGAATAGTAAAAATAAGAACTGATTATTTTTCCATATACTCCATTAGACTGTGAGCTTCTTTTTTTTTTTTTTTAAGATTTTATTTATTTATTGGGATCACTATCCTTCTGTTTGAAGTACATCATTTAGGATTTCCTTTAGAGAGGGTCTATGGGTGACACAGAGAGAGAGACAGCAAGAGAGGGAACACAAGCAGGGTAAGTGGGAGAGGGAGAAGCAGGACTCCCACCAAGAAGGGAGTCCGATGCGGGGCTCAATCCCAGGACCCCAGGATCATGACCTGAGCCAAAGGCAGACACCTAACGACTGAGCCACCCAGGCACCCCTAGACTGTGAGCTTCTTTAAGAGCAGATCCATGCCATACACTAGATTTTCAAAGGATTCTGTGACTCAGAAAAGAGTAAGAACAATTGTTAATGATGCTTTATTCCTTATTTCCTTCGGTCTGTTTTCTTTCCCTTCCCTTCCCTTCTCCCTTCCCTTCCCTTCTTTCTTCTTTCTTTCTTTCTTTCCTTTTTTTCTTTCTTTCTTTCCTTCTTTTTCTTTCTTTTTCTTTTCTTTCTTTCTTTCCTTTCTTTCTTTCTTTTCTTTCTTTCTTTTCTTTCTTTCTTTCTTTCTTTCTTTCTTTCTTTCTTTCTTTCTTTCTTTCTTTCTTTCTTCATCAGATAGAAATACTTTTGAACTATAAAAGCAATACAGGGGCACCTGGGTGGCTCAGCCAGTTAAGCGTCTGCCTTTGACTCAGGTCATGATCCTGGGATCAAGCCCCACATCAGGCTCCTTGCTCAGCAGGGAACCTGCTTCTCCCTCTGCCTGCCGCTCCCCCTGGTTCTGCTCTCTCTCTGACAAATAAATAAAATCTTTAAAAAAGAAAAAAAAGGAATAAAAGAAATAAAAGCAATACAAACACATTAAGAAAACATTTAAGAATACAACTAGTGAGTGAGAGGGAGAAAATCTTGCCCCTCCTTGTGCCAACCCAGCCCCCCAAACATGCTGAGCAATTCCTCTATAGGATTTGGTATATATCTCTCCAGACTCCTGTGTAATAAAATAAAAATATTCCCATTCATAACTTTTTATTAGAGCTTCTACCTATCAGTGAGTAAAAAGTTGAACTTCCCAATTAAAAAATAGTTAGAAGACATAAACAGACAATTTTTAAAATATAATATATATTATACATATATATTAGGGAAAAGATGTTAAACCCTAGTAACATATAGAAACAGCATGCATTTTTTTGTCTATTAGAATGATATGTGCACATACGCACGCACACACACACACACGCACGCACACTGCTCAGGGCTGGTCAGAGTTCAGAGGAGCAGACCTTCTCCCCTGCTGCCCTGGAAATGAGAATTGCTACACTTTTCCTCTTTTCCTTTTCCTCTCTTTGTGTCTTTGTTCTGTGGGTTTTTGAGTTTAAGAATTTAGAAGTGGAATCTCTCCCAGTTGTCTGTCTCTTGGGTATCATGGTTCAAGCTCTTATCTCACTAACCCTTCTAATTTTTCTTTTTTCTCAACATTAATTTTGTTCCACCTTATTATGTAAGTACTTAATCCCACTTTTGGAATTTTGACCATTTGTCTTAAATTTCTGTCTCCTATTACTTTTGTTCACCTTTTAGAGTTCGTGTGAATTCTTTTCTCTTTATTTTTCTATTTTCTTTTCTGATATTAAGCCTATTTTAGCCTCCTGAATCATCGTATTTTTAACCTCTTTTGTTCTCTTGCTCTCTCATTTTTGTAGTGACTTGGGTTATTGTTGTACGTTGGACAGTATGCTCTATTTTATGACATCTTCAGATGCCTGGTGTGTCACACATTTACATCCTGTAAAGTGTTGGGCAAGATGATGGGCACAGTGCATGTGAGAACTGTTAGACCCCACCATAGTCATTAAGGGGGCTCTGGGAGGTCATTTGATCTATCTATGTTTACAATTGACTATGCTGTGAAAGTTTCTGGTCCAGTTCTTTTGGACTAGAAATATACATGGGCAGAGAGCTGGTAGAGCTGAAATTCTGAAAGAGTTCATTTCAGTAAATACTAGTGGAGTGCTATGTCCCTGCCAAGTACAAGATTCTAGGTTGTATATGCACATTGTCATATATTCTGAGATTCTAGGTTGTATATGCACATCGTCAGTTAGGAGTCATTTAGCTTAACCTGAGATTTTTAACCATTCCAAAAAAATCCTTCCTGAATATTCAAAAGTAGTCAAGAAATCCTTTTTATAAAGCCCTAAGAAATTCATTCAGGCAGTCAGCAAGATGAAACAAACAAACAAAAAGCTTTTGCTTGATTTTCATGGACCCATTCCTGCCATTTCTAAGCAAATCTTGGCTCCACCCTTTCCAGCAAGATAGGACATACTGTGCTAGAGATGAACAAAGATTGATGGAAGACTCTGGGATAAAAGGACAAGGGAAGCATTGAGTTCAGGCTTGGTTTTTAATGTGGGAGCAGGGTGGTGGAATGAGACTGGTGTAATCCATTGCATTTGCTCTGATGAGGGTCCAAGGCCCTGAGAATAGCAAAGGGGAGCATGAGTGCGTAGGGATTGGGAAGGAGGGACCACAGACATGCGGAGGAAATGGAACGCTTCTGCTTGGTACCACTGCTTGCAACTAGCCACAGCCTGGGTAGATGAGAGGCAAGGGTAGGATCTACTCAGAGTCATCTCTTGAATGAACAAGTCAGGAAATACCTTGATTAGTAGCCATTCACTCATCCAACCCACTTGCACATACCTACATATTTGTGCATACTTGTGACACACTACACAATTTTCCATTCTCTCCCTCCCACTCCCTCCCTCCCTCCCTTTCTTTCCCTCCCACTAAACTCTAAGGGCCTGGTGCCTTCTCAGGTTCATGTCTTTGTCCACAAATCACACACAATGCCTGACAAATTCCCTCCACCACTCAATAACTTTGTCACCTTGGTGACATTACTTGGGCTATGACTCATTTTCCTTTTCTGAAAGACAAGGAAAATCATTAATTCCACAGGGTGGTTGTGAGATTAAGTGAAATAAAGAGTGAAATGTGCTTCACATGGCACCCAGTGTCCATGTGCCTTCCTCCAGTACATCATCTATGTGCTCTCATCCTCTCTGTTGCTATGAGCCCAGTCATTCCTCAGGGACTCAAGCAGTTGTGTGCCAGGTACCAGAAAACCAAGTGCCTTTCACACTGTTGCTTTTATTCTTCCTCACCAAACCCTTTGAGGGAGGAATAATTCTTTCCTTTCTGTAGTTGGGGCTCAAAAAAAAGTGAAGCAACTTTCCCAAGAGCCCACAGCTAGTGAACCATACAGCTAAAGTGCCCACATAGCTCCAGAACTAGAGTGCTTTTCTGCATAACTGGCCCCAACTATGACAAGAATTTTCAGTCAGCTAGCACGTGTTGAGGAAGGGGACATTCTCTTCTACTTCAACAGTCATGATTTGCTAAAAAGTCCATGCTTGCAACCCCAGACTTACACTAAGTATATCAGCCTTCTTTGGCTAGTCACATATTCTGAATTCTCTCCCCTCACTAGACTCTAAGATGCTTCAGGGTTGGAGACCTTGTTTGTTTTATTATAGTTACATCTTCATACCTCGTTCTTGGGAACGTGGTAGATGCTCACTCAATTTGTGTAGGTTGAATATATGAATGAATATTTATAAGGAACATCCACATCCTGTAGTGAATTCAATCCGAGTCTAGTTGAAAGAAGGGGAAAAGGAAACAGGAGAAAAGCTCCCATCATGCCAAGGTGCACACAGACTCTCCTCAGTACAAGATCTTCCCCAGCTACACATATACCCTCCATTCCCAGACACACAGACATGTGCATATTCAACTGTGCCTATTTAACTATTTTTCAGCTTGTGAAGAAATATGGAAACATTTTGAGCATGCAGCTAGGTGACTTGCCTGTAGTTGTTATAACTGGATTGCCCTTGATCAAAGAAGTCCTTATCGACCAGAACCAAGTCTTTGTGAACCGCCCTATGACTCCTATCCGAGAACGTATCTTCAAGAACAATGGTAAGTTTCTTAACCAATGTAAGATGGCCATGTTTGATATTTTATGGTCTGTTAAAGGTGCCTCTGTGACTATAATTCTCCAACACTCTCAGGGAGCAGGCCCATTATAAAATTCTTGAAATTAAAGAAAGCTGGATGCTGGATGCCCACATTTCCCTATTGAAGGCACCCCCTTAGAGAACATGGCAGATCCTGTCAGGGATTTGGAAGAAGCTGTGTCTCCTGCATGAACTCACTCTGGACACACTGATAAACAAGTAACTGCATTACTCAGTGATAGCAGAGGAAGAGGCAATGCATTCTTGCTCCCTCTTTCTGCTTCATGCTCCAATCTCTTCCCTTAGGCAAATCGTTGTAGATCTGCTTCCTTCTGCTGCTTACATAAGTCCCTCTTCTTGCCTCAAGTTCCTTATGCTTTCTTGGTAGGGCTGTTCCCACAGAGTATCTCAAGCCTTCCATTCTGTGTTAGAACAGTTTGGCAAGAATACTTAAAATTATCATTAAATAAATGCAAACACTACTCTATGTTGGCTAACTGAACATAATAATAAAAATAAATAAATAATAAATAAATAAATAAATAAAATCTCTGTAAACACCACCCAAAAATTTTAAAAAATGTTTTTTCAGTTTCTTTATTGGTTATATAGATATATTCAAGTTTTTTCTGTTATTTCTTAAATTAGTTTTAGTAATTATTTTACAAATAAATAAATAAATAAATGTAAAAATTTAAAACATTTAAAACATTTAAAAATCTAAATGGATAACTCAAATCTAGTACTCTACCCAAGTACCGTTTTTTCAGGTGCTTCCCCATACCTTTTTGAAATAGTTTACCTTCCAACTCTACATCCACTTACTCCATTTACTATGTGAAGCCCAGTGCTAGGCAACCAACCAACCGTGAGTAGTGCAGATAAAATCCATGTCCTTAGGTAACTTATAGTCAGAAAAACAGTATCAATTAGCTCTAATAACTTAAAGCATTAGTCTTATGAAGATATGTGCAGGATGCATTTATTAGGGGGAATCTAATCTAATCCTGGGATTCAAAGAAAGCTAATGTAAATAAATGACAATCAATTTAACAAAGTGAAGAGGCAATCGGGCAGATGGAATAGAATAGGAAAAGTCCCTGAGGTGGGAAGAAGGACAACGAACTTGAGGAAGTAAAAGGTGGCCAGTGTGGCAAGTACAGGGATTAAATGGAGATAATTAAAGGAAGATAAAGCTGCTGAGCTTGGCCAAGAATTGTTCATGCAAGTTCTTGTTAAGGGTGTTGGGTTTTATGTTAATAACAATGGAAACTCTTAAATGATTTTAAGTAGAGAAAGGAATCACCATATTTACATTGTACATTTTAAAAACTTATGTAGGTTGCAGTGCAGAAGACTATACAGGGAACAAGAGACTATGGTAGCATTTTAGGTTAGAGAAGGTTGTAGCTTAGACTAGGGAGATGGCAAGAAATGACAATAGAGTAGACTAGACCAGGCTAGTAGCAGTGAAGGTACATGAATTTAAGGTATCCAGAGGGGTAAATCCAATAAGATATGATGACCCAAATAGAGGGAGAAGGAAAGCCGAATGAGGTATTGAGGTAGACACCCAAGTGGGTAGATGATGGAAAGGAGGAATATTTGGAGGAGGACAGGTATGTAGTTTGGCTTGGGTGTGGAGTTGTACGGAGAACATCATGAATCCAATCATGGATATGCTGAGTTTGAAAGGCTTTTAAGTGGGCAAAGTCAGGCAAACAGTTGTGTGTATGTGTCTGGAGCTCAGGGACAGAAATAAATTGTCACTATCAATAGATGTCAGTATCAATAGATCTCCAAAACTTTTGGAGTTGAGATTTCCCAGGAATGGGGTTTCAGGGAAGAAGAGAAGAGGCTTTATACCTTATCTTGAAGAACTCCATCATTTTAAAATTTGAAAGAAGAAGATGAGCCAGCAAAAGATATGAGAAGGAGGAAAATCTGGAGGGTGTGCTGTCCTGAGCACCTCTGGAAGGGAGGGCTTCAGGAGAGAAGTGCCTCGTGCTGCTAAAAGATCAAGAAAGATAAGGTTGAAAAGTTTCCCTGGATTTGACAAAGATGGCCATCTCGTGGAGATGGTGGAGGCCAAAGCCAGGCACTAAAAGGAGTTAGAGAGTACTCTGGAGATGAAGAAAAGAAAGGAGGGTGGCCTTATCTGTGTTGTAAAACAAATGATGAATTGTTGAACATAACAAGTTGGTTTTTTTTTTCTTTGCCTTTCCATGTGCTATTCTTTCTGCATGGAATAGTCACTCTTCCTTGCTTTCTTGAGTCATTCCTTCATCTTTCAAGGTCCAGTTTAGATAAGACTCTCCTAGAAAGCTTTGCCTCCTTTTGAGTTGTATTTTATCTTATCCATGAGTGCATTCTTAGTGTGTAGCATAAAACAAGTATTTCAGTATACTTATGTGACTAGTAATCAAAGCAGGGGCTTTGGAATCCAGCAAACCTGAATTTGAATGCCTCTTCAGCTGCTCACTGTGACCCTGAAAAGTTTCTTTTGTGCCTCAGTTTTCTCGTCAGCAAAATGGGAGAGGGGAGTAAGGATTATACCTATCTCATAGAGTTTCTGTAAGTGCTAACTTACATAATGCAGTAAAAACACTCAAGTCCCTGCACTACAAGCAATAATGCTGGCCACTATATCCACTACCTTGGGATTATTTCCCTGAATAGTTTTCAAGTGACTTAATGCCCTTCTTCTTCCCACCAATACATATTTCCATACCATTTGCCAGATATTTACATAATAGAATAAGAATATCATAATGTTGGCTTTTTTTTTTTCCAGGATTGATCATGTCCAGTGGCCAAACATGGAAGGAGCAAAGAAGGTTCACCCTGGCGACCCTAAGGAACTTTGGTCTAGGAAGGAAGAGCTTAGAGGAACGCATTCAGGAGGAAGCCCATCACCTCATCCAGGCAATAGAAGAAGAGAATGGTGAGTTGTTTCCTAGGACAGGTACAGGAGATTGTGACTCATTCATTCACTGAACAGATACTTATTAAGTGCCTAAGGACTTATCCTGTGCCCAGCACCATGCCAGCCACTAAGAATATTACAGTGAACAACTAACCATGACCCCACCTTCATGGAGCTCTAGGATTAAGCACAAGAGGACTGGTATTAAACACATTACTGATTTTAAACCCTGGTCATCAATTTGACTTCCCAGGTATTGACCGAGTACTTGCTACATGTTAGACCCTGTGTAGGGGGCTGTGGCCAGAGCTTCACAGGCAGTATATACTCAGTATGGTAAATGTCATGGAGAGCAGACTCTTAGTAGAAAATAGAAACAAACTAATCTAAAGGTTCGATCTCTTGTTTCACCTCCAGGACAGCCTTTCAACCCTCACTTCAAGATGAACAGTGCAGTTTCCAATATTATTTGCTCTATCACCTTTGGGAAGCGCTTTGAGTACGAGGATGAACAGTTTCAGGAATTGCTGAGGTTGCTGGATGACGTCACGTGTCTGGAGGCATCAATGAGATGCCAGGTAAAGGGTTTTCTTTCTACATCTTGGGTAAGAATATTGGAGCTGATGTCAGACACAGATGAGTTCTTACTAAAATACCACCTTTTTGTTTAAGCTGAAGTATCACCTTTTACAATTGACTTCAACTCAAACTTACTTAAAATCCATCTGTTGACTTTAGTGTTTTTTGATAATATTATTGGATATTTACTGCATACAAAGAACATTTCTAACATGCATGTGAAGTGTAAAACTTTACAAGCCATACACCTATACATCCATGTTGTGTTATTTAAAAACACGATATTGCCATTGCCTTTGAGTCCTGCCCCTCTATGTCCTTCCCTAATCCAGCCACTCTGCTGCCCCAGAAGTACTCTTCTGTGATTGGCTTCTCCCTCAGCAGATTGTTTGCAGATTTATCTGTGTCAGTTGCTCTTTTCTTTTCTAAATTCTGAATAGTATTTCATTGTATGAATATGGCACTGTTTGTTGCTCTATTCTCTATTGATGAACGTTTGGGTTGTTTCCAGTTTGGGATGTTATGATTAGCTGCCATGAACATTCTTGGACAGTTGTTCATCTGTGGACATGCCCACTCATTTCTCTTGAATTTATACCTGGACATAAAAGATGCCTAAAGGTTTCGCAAGCAGTTACACTACTTACATGCCCATCCACACTTGACATTATCAATCTTCCCATTCCATAGGGTATAGACCTTTGGGGTTCAAACTTCACCCCTTCCTTTGGTGGACGCTGCTCTCCATTTTGTCCCACTGGGCCTGTGAGTCTGTCAGAAACTCTGCTCATCTTCTTGGTCTCTCAACCACTTTCCTGGATTTGGAAGACACTTCTATGGGAAAAGTGGCCCTATTAACGCCACCTCTCTAGTATCTAGAAGTGGATTTATTTTTATTTATTCCTGACAAGCATCTTTGCCTGGAGCTTTATGGACCCATCGCATCAAAACCAATAAAGCAGTTAGCATGAGTCCTGGCACATTCAAAGGGTGTAATGAATGTGAGCTATCATTATTATTACCATTGTCAGAGGTACTTTTGAATTCCTTGTTCTCATCTCTAATAACAGTAATTACCAATTCAATAATTCCATGTTCTTCAGCCCTATTAAGACAGGAAGTCATAAGAGTTCAGTGGGTACCCAGCTGATTTTCCCCAGGGAAAAGTAATTCCTGAGAAGGTAAGAAGGGGCAGTAAGGTAAGGTTATTAAGCATTTCTTGGAGTCCCAAGCATCTCGATGGACAAATATACATTCTTTATCTCAGTTAATTTTTACCAAAAACCCCTTTAAAGATGAAATGAAGCATCATGGTGTGGACAAGCAGATATAGGAGCGTGTAAGCTAATCCAGATAGTGGCCCACTGGCTCTGTGCTAGGTGCTGTATGGACCTCATCTCATTCAGTCACCAGAATAATCCCAGGGCCCCATTGGCAGCTAGTTAAACTAAGGAGCAACAGATTGTATCATCATCATCATCATCATCATCATCATCATCATCATCATCATCACCAAACTATTATAGCTAGAAAACAGCAGAGCTAATAGACCTGTATCTATCTCATTTTAAGTCTAGGTGACTTTCCATTATGTCCTGCTTCTTTCTACCAGATATTATTGGAGAAAATATTTTTAAAAATACTTTATTTCAGTAAAATATGTCTTACCTACATGAAGATTGCATCATAGCGGGGCAAATACATATACATAAGACATGTATATATATCTTACACACACACATATATTAGTGGTAATTACCATGAAGGAAAATGAAACAGGATAAGGGAATGGAGAGAGGGTGGCAGGGGTCCTTATAGGATCATCAGGTTAAGACCACCCCAAGGCGGTGACATTTGAGCAGCACTTTAATGAAATGAGGGGTTGAAGTTATGCAGATTTCAGAGGAAGAGCGTTCTAGGTAGAACTGTGGTGCTGCACTAGAGTAAGAGTAAGAGAGAGTATGATGGCGGGGAGTAATAGCAAAGGAGGCGACAGGTGTGGGGCAGGGGGCTGGTGCATGCAGAGCTTGTATGTCAGAAGAATGATGCAGAGCTTTGTCTGAGAGTCATAGAAAGTCATTGAAGGATTGAGAGCCAAGGAGTGAAATGATCTGATTAAACTATTAAATGATGCCCCTGGCAGCTCTGTGGAAAACAGACTGTGAGTGGGTTAAGAATGGAATCAGTGAAGCTGATGGAGGCTATCACAGCATCCAGGTAAGAAATGCTGCTGGTTTGTACTAGGGGACAACATGGCTGGGGGGGTGAGATGCGGTGTGAAACTGGATACACTTTGGATGGAGTGCTGAAATGCTTTGCTAGCAGGAGAGAAGAGGGTGAGAGAGAAGAGGCAAGGCTACCCAAGGTTTAAGAGCAAGTAAATGAAAGATAGAAAGAGAATATCGATTATTTTGTCTTGAAAAACGGGCATCCAGTTGTCTCTATGAGTGTTTTGTTTTTCCTCAATTAGCTCTACAACATCTGTCCACGGATTATGAAATTTCTTCCTGGACCTCATCAAACACTCTTTAGCAACTGGGAGAAACTGAAATTGTTCATTGCTCATATGACTGAAAACCACAGGAGAGACTGGAATCCTGCTGAACCAAGAGATTTTATTGACGCTTACCTCAAGGAAATGGAAAAGGTAAGGGAACCAAAGTTGTTTCTTTGTTCTTTTTTTTTTTAATCATGACCTGAGCCGAAGGCAGATGCTTAACGACTGAGCCACCCAGGCGCCCCTGTTCCTTTGTTCTTAAAGAGCAAATGGGGGTATATTAGTGTCCCATTGCTGCCATAACAAATTACCACAAACCTGGGGATTCCAAACAACACAGACTTATTCTCTTACGGTCCTGGAGGTCAGAAATCCGAAATCAGTTTCACTGGGCTAAAATCAGGGTGTTGGCAGGGCTGGTTCCTTCTGGAGACTCTAAGAAAGAATCTGTTTCCTTGATTTTTCCTTCTAGAGGCTGCCTTGGCTTATGGCCCCTTTTTCCATCTTCAAAGCCAGTATGTAGCATTTTCTCTGCTTTCATCTTTCCATCTTCTCTTTATGACCCCCTTGCCTCCATCTTATAAAGACTCTTGTAATGACTTTGAATTATCCAGAATAATCTTCCCACATCAAGATTCTTAACTTAATCATATCTACAAAGTCCCTTTTGCCATATAAGGTAACATCCACAGATTTCAGAGATTAAGATATGGACATCTTGGTGGGTCATTATTTCGTTTATCACAGGGGAGTCAAAATAGAGGCAGCATTTCATAGAGTATAGGAGCAGCATTAACTCAGGATTGACAAGGTAAGTAGAAATAAAGATAGGTGTTGATGGGCACTGGGTGTTATATGCGATGGATAAATAACTGAACTCTACATCTGAAACTAATGATACACTAGATGTTGACTAATTGAATTTAAATAAAAAATAAGTTAAAAAAAAAAAAAAAGACAGGGGTTGAATGGTATTTGGCTTGAGGCCTTGAGGATGCCCAAATACTGCCTGTTCGTCTTCTGTTCTCTGCCCTTTACCTGTATCTGAAGGAGCTATATACAAAAGGAAAACTAACAAATGAGCTTCAAAGGACTCTTTCATTTTTAGTTGGACCTGTGCCCAGTTGCCTGCCCCTTCCCTCAACCCCCAGCACAGAACACAAGAAAAGGCTGATTTGGATGCCAGAGTTCAGGCTTAGGGCCCGAGTGGAACTTTTGCTTTCCTCCCTGATCTTCCTACCATCCACTTTCCAACATTATGGGAAAGGTGCAGGGAAAGGCCAAATTGGTTGTATAGCTTTTAGCACAGTACCCCTGTGGTCAATATACATCCATGCATCAGTGTCAGTGTCATAATCTTTCATCAGATTAGTTGAGCCTCCTCTTGGAATTGACAGAATGGTGGATTTCTATCCATCCCTTCTTTTATTTCACTGTATTGGATAACATTAGTAGAAGCATTGATCTCTCCACAGAGGAGGAGACTTCACTAGCTAAATGTTGTGCAGGTATGGGGCCACACATTGAGAGGATTGTTGACAAACTGAAGCTTCCAGGGGAAGGTGATAAAGATGATGCAGTGCTGTGAGGAATGGTTGATGGAATCAGAGTGGTTTCACCTAGAAAGGAAGAGATTAACGGGGAGATATGAGAATTGGTTTACATAAGAGGAATTCAGTTTATTCTTCCTGGTATCAATACAAGCATGTGTTGAGTATTTGTAACGTGCTCTTTACATCTCATGTAACTCATAATGCCATCTTAAAGGGCATGTGTATTTCATTTCTATTTTCTGAAACAGGAAACTGAGGTGCAGAGAGATTAAGTGACTTGCCCTAGGTCATGCAGATAGTGAACGATGTAGCTAATACTGGAGTCCAGGCCTGTCTTTCTACTAAACTGTTTCTCTTTCCACTGTACTAATAGATCTCCCAAATTTAGGCATAAACTAAAGAATTGTCTTGATTTTCATCCACCAAAGCTAACAAAAGCTTCCACTACTTGGGGCAGGAGGATGCTAGTGATGTCGCTGTAATAAGCCTCTATCTCTTGAGATGGTCAAAGGGAAAGATATTTTTCCTGGGGATCCTTTGTTCCAAGGTCTCGCCCCAGGATGAAGCACCGGTGTACTGTAGCAACCAAGAACCAACTGAATAAACCAGTAAACATTGTGCTTTCTAGAATAGGGGCAATGCTACTTCAAGTTTCCATGAAGAAAACCTCATCTATAGCACCCTGGACCTCTTCTTTGCTGGAACCGAGACAACTTCAACAACACTGCGCTGGGGTCTGCTTTACTTGGCCCTCAACCCAGAAATCCAAGGTGAGCATGTCAGTGAGTGTGCCTGGGCCAGGACAGAATGCTGCCTCCTAGAGCATACTTCCCCCAAATTGGGGCTAGAAGATAGCATGGTAGAATGAAAAGATAGGACAGTCATGAGGTGATGTGGACTTAAGAACGGGTACCTTCTTTGGTTTTTCTGTTAGGATTCTGATGGGTTCACATCATACCAATAAAACAGAGTCCCTGCCCTCAGGACACTCAGAGTCTAGAGGGGAAACAATGAAGTCAGTTGACATTGTGGTGAGTTCCAGGAAAAGACTTATATTCTTACATGAAATCTAGTTACAGCCTTCCATCCTTTTAAGTAATGTCTTTCATTGCCCTGAGGATAATGTTCAAACTCCTTAGTCTGGCATATCATGCTCTCTGATGTGCCTCCTCCTGTCTGTCCAGCCTCAGCTCCACCCACCCTGCATAGTGGCCTCACTAAATTACATGTTTTTTCCTTTGCATTGTCCTTATTTATGCCTCTGCCATCAGGCCTGCTCTTCCCTCTACCAATTGCGTAGTTCCCCAATTTATCTACATGGTCAGTCATCAGGTGTGCTTGAAGAATCTGCTCAAATACAACCTCCTCTAAGATGTTCCCCCAAGCTTGTAGGAAACTCCTTCCTCTAAAGTTGACTTTATTATTATTAGGATTATTTTCCTCCTCTAGAGATGACCTAACATACCTCCACTACTGTGCTGATTGTACATTATTCATATGTCTTCCCCAAAGACTGCTGTCCATTCAAAGACAGTGACTGTTATAATCTTTTTTTTTTTTTTCCTCTAGGACCCAGAACAGTTTGAGCATATGAGAGATGGGATATTAGGATACAGTTTGTCAAACTGTGGGTAACAGTTTATTAATGGGACATAAAATCAATTTAGTAGATCAAGACCAACATTTCTTCCTAAAATAAAAATAGAATAGAAAAGATCAGAGTACTTCCCATGTACTAAGGATAAGTTTGTTCATGAAACTTCATTTCTTTCCATAATTATAAATAGAAGTATGTTTTATATGTGTGTATACCTATGTTTATGTGTCTTGAATCATGATGTAAAATGCTTTCGGAACTATGAATTACATTTTCTAAAAAGTTGAAAAGCTACCTCATTTTAGAATATAGATTTGGCTTCTGTAATAGGGTCTCTAAAATAACAATAGCTTAAAATTACAGATGTTTATACCCATCTTCGTAGCAACTTTATTCACAGAAACTAAGGTGGAAGCAACCCAAGTGTCCATCAATGGAAGAATGGATAAACAAAATATGGAATACAGTGGAATATTATTCATCCTTAAACAGGAAGTAAATTCTGACGCATGCTCTAACACGGATGAACCTTGAGGACATTATGCCAAGTTAAATAATACAGTCACAAAAAGACATATACTGTATAATTCCATTTATATGAGATTTCTAGAGTAGACAAATTCATAGAAACAGAAAGTAGAATGTTGGTTTCCAAGGGCTTGGGGTAGGAGAAAATGAGAAGTTATGGTTTAACGGATGTACAGTTTCAGTTTTTCAAGATAAAAAGTTCTGGAGATTGGTTGCACAATGTGAACGTATATGTAACATCATTAAACTATATGCTTAAATATGGTTAACACGGTAAATTTTTTGTCATGTATGTTTTACCACAACTTTAAAAATGTTTTAAATGGCCAGTAAAAAAGAAATTCTCCTTCTCTATTTCTCTCTAAAGTTAAGAAACCTAAGCTGGACTCTGCAGAGCCCTTTGGGTTCTAAGCTCCTTCCAATATGTTGCTCTTTTGTATCTAGAATGGTGCCCTTGTTTGCAAGGTCAAAGATGACTCACCTCAAGGGCTGCCTTTCCACGAGTAGGAAGGGAAGAAGAAGGAAACATATACCCTTCCTTTAAGGACATGTTTTAAGTATTAAACATACGTTCTACAGATATTCTATTGACCAGAACTTAGTCACATGGTCATACTTAGTCACAAGGGAATCTGGGAAATGTAGTCTATAGCTGGGCAACTGGGTGTACAGCTAACATCTCTATTATCGTAGAAAAAAAAGAGGAAAAGAGGTATATTGGGGCACAATTAGAAATTTCTTTGATTTGTTGGGTGCTCACCTAAATCGGTTCATGTAAATCTCAAGACGTAAGAGGAATGTAGATTATCCTCACTAATAAGAGAAAACTGAGGCTCAAAGAGTTTAAGTAACTTGCAAGAGTAATGTTTCAGAGCAAGAGTTCGCAACCAGATATGTCTAAAACCCAGGCCCACTTTTCACTCTGAAATACCTCCTGAGAAACCAAAGTCTACAGTGCCTGCTATAGTTTTAGCCTTTTTTTTTTTTTTTTGCCACTTTGATCCTGATTATTCCATTCTTCAGCTTAATCAGGCTTAAGGAAGGTTGTGGAATAATAGAATAATAGAACCTTCTTTTCCAGAAAAAGTCCATGCTGAGATCGACAGGGTGATTGGCTGGTCACAGCTGCCAAGTATAGCCACTCGAGAGTCCATGCCCTATACCAATGCCGTCATTCATGAGGTGCAGAGAATGGGAAACATCATCCCCCTGAATGTGCCCAGGGAAGTGACAGGTGATACCATGCTTGCTGGATACTACCTGCCCAAGGTAACCAGGGACTCCCAGCCTCAGATCTTCAAGCCCATCTTTTTAGATGGTAGAAACTCTGAACTGAAAGGATGACCCATAACTCTTGTCCTGGGGAATCACTTAAATGGGAAGAGAGATATATTACACCTGAGATAATACCAGCTTTTTTCCCTATGTGTGGTCTTTGGAACATTAATTCAACTAGACATTAATAGATATTATGGAGGGGAAGGAGGATTCCTTGGTCAGATATGTTTAGGCAAAGACTGGCTTTTCTTTGCTGGTGGGATGTCTCAGTCTGTTCTTTTTTTTTTTTTTTTTTTTTTTTTACCATGTGATGTACATTATGGATCTTTGTGGGGATACAGCAAGCAGCTGTTCTCAGTCAGACTTTGCCACAGGGCCCTTTACTTTGCCAGGGTGGGGCTTCTCACAGCACTAGGGACCTGTCAGACCTGGAAAATTCTGCTTCATAATCATGGGGCTATAGAACATTAAAATATGAAGGAACATTTGAGCCTACCTAGGCCAATATCACATTAAGGCTGGTGTTTCTAGCATGCTATTCCCCACAAGTATTTTTCCAGCTTTTACCTACAATCCTGTAGTGGGACTATCTCACAAGGGAAACCAATTCAGGTGTGTGCAATATTAATTATTTGAAAATGAGAGAAGGGAACCAATGCTTATTAAGCAAGGAATACGTGCCATGGACTCTATAGGTTCTTTCAAAAGGTCTGAATCAGTCCTGAGACTAAATGTTATTTCCATTTCATAAATTTGGAAGTCGAGGCTCAGGAGTGATTAAGCTTGCATAAGATAGCTCAGTTACAAAGTGACAAGAGTTGAGTTCCAGAAGCAGATCTGTTTTGTTTCCCAGGCTCATCTTTTCTGTACTACACCATGTTCTCTTCACAGGAGTTGCTTTATTTGCACGTTAAAAGAGTCTCTCTGCAATTGTTTTCAGTTGGTCTCTGTTAAATTCCTGTCCTCACAAAGGAAATTCTTTTTTTAAAAAATTATTTATTTAAATTCAATTAAAATATACTGTTTTATTAGTTCCGGGGGTAGAATTTAGTGATTCATCAGTTGCATATAACACCCAATGCTCATTACACATCAAGTGCCCTCCTTAATGTCCATCACCCAGTTACCCCATCCCCCCACCCACCACCCCTCCAGCAGCCCTCAGTTTATTTCCTAGAGTTCACCATCTCTTATGGTTTGCCTCCCTCTTTATTTTCATCTTATTTTATTTTTCCTTCCCTTCCCCTATGTTCATCAGTTTTGCTTCTTGAATTCCACATATGAGTGAGATCATAGGATATTTGTCTTTCTCTGATTGACTTATTTCACTTAGCATAATACCCTCTAGTTCCATCCACATTGTTGCAAATGGCAAGATGTTATTCTTTTTGATGACTGAGTAATATTCCATTGTTTATATATACCACATCTTATCCATTCATCTGTGGGTCAACATCTGGGCTCTTTCCATATTTTGGCTATTGTGGACATTGCTGCTATAAACATTGGGGTGCATGTGCCCCTTCAAATCACTAGGTTTGTATCGTTTGTATAAATACCAAGCAGTACAATTGCTGGGTCATAAGGTAGCTCTATTTTCAACTTTTTGAGGAATTTCCATACTGTTTTCCAGAGTGGTTGCACCTGCTTGCATTCCCACCAACAGTGTAAGAGGGTTCCCCTTTCTCCACATCCTCACGAACATCTGTTGTTTCCTGAGTTGTTCATTTTAGCCATTCTGACTGGTATGAAGTGGTATCTCATTGTGGTTTTGATCTGTATTTCCCTGATGCTTAGTGATGTTAAGCATTTTTTCATGTGTCTGTTGGCCAATTGTATGTCTTCTTTAGAGAAATGTCTGTTCATGTCTTCTGCCCATCTCTTGATTGGATTATTTGTTCTTTGGCTGTTGAGTTTGATAAGTTCTTTATAGATTTGGGGTAAATCTTTATTTATCTGATAAGACATTTGCAAATATCTTCTCCCATTCTGTAGGTTGCCTTTTAGTTTTGTTGACTGTTTCTTTGTTGCGCAAAGTTTTTATCTTGATAAAGTCCCCATAGTTCATTTTTGCTTTTGTTTCCCTTGCCTTGCTGCCTCTGAGGTCAAAGAGGTTGCTGCCTATGTTCTCCTCTAGGATTCTGATGGATTCGTGTCTCACATTTAGGTCTTTCATCCATTTTGAGTTTATCTTTGTGTATGGTGTAAAAAAATGGTCCAGTTTCATTCTTCTGCATGTGGCTGTCCAATTTTCCCAGCACATTTATTGAAGAGACTGTCCTTTTTCCATTGAACCTTCTTTCCTGCTTTGTCGAAGATTAGTTGACCACAGAGTTGAGGGTCCATTTCTGGGTTCTCTATTCTGTTCCATTGATCTATGTGTCTGTTTTTGTGTCAGTACCATACTGTCTTGATGATGACAGCTTTGTAATAGAGCTTGAAGTATGGCATTGTGATGCCCCCAGGTTTGGTTTTCTTTTCAACATTCCTTTGGCTATTCGGGGTCTTTTCTGGTTCCATACAAATTTTAGGATTGTTTGTTCCAGCCCTGTGAAAAATGCTGATGGCATTTTGATAGGGATTGCATTGAATGTGTAGATTGCTTTGGGTAGCATAGACATTTTAACAATATTTGTTCTTCTAATCCATGAGCATAGAATATTTTTCCATTTCTTTGTGTCTTCCTTGATTTCTTTCATTAAGTGTTCTATAGTTTTCAGAGTACAGATCCTTTACCTCTTGGTAAGGTTTATTCCTAGGTAAGTTATGGGTTTTGGTGCAATTGTAAATGGGATCGATTCCTTGATTTCTCTTTCTTCTGCCTCACTGTTAGTGTATAGAAAGGCAACTGGCTTCTGTGCATTGATTTTATATCCTATGACTTTGCTGAATTCCTATATCAGTTCTAGCAATTTTGGGGTAGAGTTGTTTGAGTTTTCTACATAAAGTATCATGTCATCTGTGAAGAGTGAAAGTTTGACTTCTTCTTTGCCGATTTGGATGCCTTTTATTTTATTTTTTTAAGATTTTATTTATTTATTTGACAGAGAGAGACACAGTGAGAGAGGGAACACAAGCAGGAGGAGTGGGAGAGGGAGAAGCAGGCTTCCTGCAGAGCAGGGAGCCTGATGCGGGCTTGATCCCAAGACCCTGGGATCATGACCTGAGCCAAAAGCAGACACTTAACGACTGAACCATCCAGGCGCCCCACCTTTTATTTCTTTTTGTTGTCTGATTGCTGAGGGTAGGACTTCCAGTACTATGTTGAACAGTAGTAGTGAGAGTGGACATCCTTGTCGTGTTCCTGATCTTAGAGGAAAGCTCTCAGTTTTTCCCCCTTGAGGATGATATTCGCTGTGGGTTTTTCGTATATGGCTTTTATGCTATTAAGGTATGTTCCCTCTATCCCTACATGGCAGAGAGTTTTTATCAAGAAAGGATGCTGTATTTTGTCAAATGTTTTTTTCTGCATCTATTGAGAGGATCACATGGTTCTTGTTCTTTCTTTTATTAATGTGGTGTATCACACTGATTGATTTGCAGATGTTGAACCACCCTTGCAGCCCAGGAATAAATCCAACTTGGTCGTGGTGAATAATCCTTTTAATGTACTGTTGGATTCTATTACTAGTATCTTGGTGAGAATTTTTGCATTCATGTTCATCAGGGATATTGGTCCGTAATTCTCCTTTTTATTGTGGTCTTTATCTGGTTTGGGGATCAAGGTAATCCTGGCTTCATAGAATGAGTTCAAAAAATTTCTGTTTTTTGAAAAAGTTTCAGAAGGATAGGTATTAATTCTTCTTTAAATGTTTGGTAGAATTCTGCTGGGAGACCATTTGGCCCTTGACTCTTGTTTGTTGGGAGATTTTTGATTACTGATTCAGTTTCCTCACAAAGGAAATTTTGTTCTCAAGCTGCCCACCAGTCTTAAGATCTCAGCAGACAGCTCTCCTCTGCCCCCTAGTGTCCTCTCTGCACATTGCACATGTACAGTTCCTTTTCTTTCTCAAGGCCTTGGTCAGCCTCTGTGGATCAACTCCAGTTTGTCTAGGTCCCTCTGCGTGGGTCTTACCTGGGGTCTCTCTCAACAGGCAGAACCAGAGGGGCTTACCCATTCTATACCTATTCCTACAGCTGTTTCCATTCACTGTTTTCTTACTGATTGACATCTTGTGGGTGAAGGCTGAGGTCTAAATTATTTCACAGGTGCTGTTTGCATTTTTCTAGCAATTCATTTAGCTTAACAGACTCATTCTACCACTGATTTTTAGTACTAACTTTAAAAAAGACCCTGGGGACTGAGATATCTAATTGACTATATCTTGTAGAGGCAAGGAGCCATGGTTCTGACATGAACTAGACCTTGTTCAAATCATTACTCTATCTCCTCCCACTGGGTGACCCTGGGCATGTCACTTAATGTCTCAGAGCTCTGATTTATTTATCTGTAAACTACTTCACAAGTGGAGATAAAATGAGATCATTCATGTAGTGTTTAGTACAGAAAGTGCTCAAAATAGCAGTTATTTCTTTATTAATTTAATAAATGTCCATTAAGCATCTAAAATGCCCCCATCTGGGAAAACAACCCTGAATAAAATAATCGTGCAAGTATATACTTACAGACCATGAGAAATGCTCAGCTGGGAGAACTCGCTGGTTTCCATAAAGATACAGGCCGGCTGGAATGGGGAGGAGGAGCAGGAGTGGTCGGAGAGGGCGTCCAAAGGGAAGTGTTGTTTGAGCTAAGGATTGGAGGGTCATGGAGAATTAGCTCAGTGACAGAGTAGAGAAGAAGGGCATTCCAGGCAAGGTGAACGGCTTGTGAAAAGGCCTGGCAATGAGCGGGAACATAGCATTTTTGAGAAGCTGAAAGCAGGCCTCTGTAGTGTGAGTGCAGGTAGAAGGAGAGTGGTCTAGACAGGGTTTCAGGGGATGGGTCTCTCCCCTAAAGGTGGTGGGAAGCTATTGAAAGTTCAGTATTCAAAGTGTGGGTGGGTGGATGGGTGTGGCATCAGTAAATCATGTTCAGAGCTCACCCTGCTTTTGAAGTGCGGAGCAGATTGAAAGGGGAGAGGCTGTGGGCACCGTTGGGCAGCTCTTGCAGGAGGATAAGCAAGGCAGCTGGTAGCCTGGACTAAGAGGCAGGGGTGGACATAGAATGGAGGCGACAGAATCAAGAGACATTTAAAGAAAAATTGAGCAGCCTCACTGAAGGATTGGATGAAGGCAGAAAGAGGGAAAGGGAGACAACATGGGGGACTCCTGGGTTTCTTTCTACACACCTGGATGGATAGTGGTTCCTTTCACTGAGGTACCTGATTCTATTATTCAACCTCCTAGGGAGTATACCAGACACTGGAGGGAAGAGAATGGGAGAAGAAGAGAGGAATGAGAGGCATGAGACATCTTTTACCTGGGTAGAGCTGCCATAGTTATCACTTTGCGGAGTGGCTGGGTGGATTTTGGTACAACGGTGCTGACTAGCCAGCTGTTGTGTTATTCTCTCCTTGATGTAGACATGTCCCTGTGGAGAGATCCATTCTGCAGTCAATGGAAGCTACACTTCCCTGGTCAAATCCCTGCAAGCCCATCATTTTAAGCTGTCCCATCACAAAGAGCAGGGGCCATGGGTGGGTGGGTAGGGGATTGGGCTAAGAAGACAGTGAGTTGGGGTGGGGTGTGGTCAGGCCCTGGCATAGGAGTCAGGGAACTGCTATTCTTCTGAGTAGGTGTGTTGTGTGGGTCAAGCCTTGCCTGAGTCTTTGCTGCCTTCTCTAGGGGACCATGATCCTGACCAATCTGACTGCACTGCACAGGGACCCTGCAGAATGGGCCACCCCTGACACTTTCAATCCGGAGCATTTCCTGGAGAATGGACAGTTTAAGAAAAAGGAAACCTTTCTGCCTTTCTCAGTAGGTGAGTTCTAACTAATAGGAGTGTCAGAATCCTGAGTCCCTCTCTTAGCCCTCCCCCTAGTCTTCTCCCTGCTATACATGCTACACAGAGCCCACACTGTGGAATACATGATAGTCTGCTTATCATTAACTTAAAAATAAATATAGATTAGTTTTCTGATCCACTATCATTTTGCTGATGACACTAAGGCTCAGAAGGGGAGGAACTGGAATTTGATGACCTGAAGCCCAAGAAGCACACCGCCCTGAGAGTATCTGGGCTGATTCTGATTAGATCTTCTTTGTTTTACCTTCACTTCATTCTATGTCATCGTTGTTCACATTGGACAAGTCCCTTCAAATAGGAAAGCTGCTATGAGACGTAGGAATACCTTCCAGTCTTCTGTCTACAGTAGCTTCAAGTTTTGTATTTCAGGACCAAGTCCCAGCCATATATTTCAAGGATTATAATTTTTCTTGCCTCACTGGGTGCTTTGCTGTTGAGAATTTTATCATACTCTCTTAATTACAGACTTCATTTGCAAGCACATTATCTCATTTAATCTTTGCAGCAACCCAGTTATTAATAATTAGACAGGAAAGTGATCAGTATTTCCATTCTTAATATAAGGAAACTAAGAATAAGAGAGTTGTTTCTTATCCGAGATCCTGCACTCAAGGAATTGGCAGAACAGGGCCTAAGACTCAAGGCTTTGTACTTCTAGTCTACTGCTCTCTTTACCACAACTAGAATGTAACTCATCTTCCCACTTAAGGGCCCTTCCACTTTGATTCAGAATTCATTCCATAGGCATCAGTCAGTCCAAAAACTCCATGGTGTAGAGCACTATTATGGCTTACAAGTCTATAGTTCAGCTACAGGTAGCTCTGCTGGTCTTAGCTGGGCTTGTTTATGTGTTTGGGAGGTCAGCTGGTTGAAAAGCTGATCTAGGATGACTCCAGCTGGAACAACAAAGCTTTCCACATTCTCTCTCACCCTCTAGCAAACTAGTCTGGTTTGTTTACTTGTTAGTGTTAAGATCGCAAGAGAGAGAATGGAAACACACAATGTCTCTTAAGGCTCAGGCTGCAAACTGACATTCTGTTACTTCCACTGCATTCTGTTGGCCCCTGCAAGTCGTAAGGTCAGACCCAATTAAGGGAGGGGAAAATACTGTAATTTTTGGTGGGAAAGGGTATGAAGTCACGTTGCAAATGATGTGGGCACGCGGAGAAGAGGGGAATTGGAGCTGTTTTTGCAGTCAGTCTTATCTCTGTGATTGAGAAGAATGAAATTCAAAGAAGGCAAACAATTTGGGGATTCCCACAGGAGGTGTGACAGAATGAGGATTAGTTAAACAGAAGAAATAGAAATCTAAAAAATCCAGTGAGTTAAGAAAATGTCGACACACTGTTTTTTTCCCACCCCACTCCCATCTTTGGCACACAGTTGCTTTTCCTTGTTCTTGGTCTAGCACCTTCTGAAGACAGCCTCCCTGAAAGAATGAGATATGGACGGCTCCTTCTCTTTTCTTGGGAAAAGAATACCATGTGTGAAATCACTACTTCTGCATAGCCAGGGCGTATTGTGAAGCTATTATTGCAAATTTATTATTTTCTTTTCCTCACTGAAGTCCTTCCAGGTTGACCTGACACAGCAGCAGGCAGCTTTATGAAAGGCAAGAGTTTGGTTCCTTATTTTTCAAATAAAATCATTCAGTCATAGAGGATGAGGTTAGGAAGAACTTATCCCAAAACACCTAGGTCATTTCTCTCATTTTACCAATGAAGAATTGACCTTGTTAGATGGTGGTGATAGCCAGGTGGTGGGAGTACCAAGAAGATACCAGTTTCCTGTGATCCAGGTGGAAGCTTAGAAAACAAGTAGTCCTCATTTTCATGCTTTGAATAGTAAATTCCTACTTGTCATCTTCTTGGTATCATTACCCAGCCGGCCACATGAATCAGTTCGAAGAGAGATTATTTCATGGATTTGACAGGTGGGAAAAATTTAGCTCTATAAGATGAGTTTGTTCACTACCCACAGCTGTTACTGATGGAACCAGTACTTTAACCCTGGTTCCTGACGCTCTGGGTCCAGTTTTGTCATCATACATGGATTCTTCTAGGAGAATCTTAGTATTTACGGGACAGCCAACTAGGTACCATTTTAACAAATTTCCTCATCATGCTATGTGTGATGGGTAGAGATAAACACGGAGGGAACGGAGATGAATGAGACACATGCTGGTAGGAAACACAGGCCCCCCAAAAAATAATAGCAGCATAATTGTGCAGCACGTTTACTAAACACTTCTGCAGGTGTTACCTAATTTTACTTCCTCAACAGCCCCTTATAGGCAAAGGACAAAATGGAGGCATGCATACATTAATGAGTTTTCAAGGGTATTTAATTACAAGGGAAAATACAAAGTAACATGCAGCACACAGAATTAACTACAGAGAATTATACCAGTTACAGTGTCCAGGGGAATCCCCACAAGGACAGTGAGGAAATATGTCAGAATGTTAACAAGGGCTCTTGTCTGGAATTACAACCATCTTTTACATTTTTTATTGTCTTCTTTATGCTTTTCTTTTTCACGCATTTTTTTAAAAAAATGTCTGCCAGTGAATACGTATTACTTAGGGAGAAAGTAAGTTATCACAGCACACACACGAAAGAGACGGTGGTAGTGAAACTGTGGGAGGTTGTTGCAAGGGAGGGAATAATAGAAGCCTAGGGCAGATGTCAGAGCACAAGTGAGATGAGATGGCGTCTGCACAGGTTGGCTGTGGCAGTGATGAGAGAGAAGTTACATACAAGGGATACTGATCCAATAAGCAAACCCACTGATGATAATGGGAGGAAGTTACAAATAGGGAAAGAGAGAAGATAAAATGAACTCTGTGGTGTTGAATTGGAATCAGAGGTTATCAATATGACCTCAGATTTCTGATAGGTAGGTAGGTAGAGAAATAAATATAGACATAAACATGGATGCATATATATAATTTAAATATATTCTCACATTATATACATACAGATCCCCCAGCTCTAGCCACTGATTCACTGAGAGCAACACTACCCTGATATCAACAAGCATGTCAAATGCCCAGATCTTGGTTTCTAGATATTATTACCCACTGAAAGGAATTTAGACTTCTAGAAAGACAGGTGATTCTAGGGTTGGGGAAGGGAAAGTGTAAGATGAGCCTGAAACACACTGTTGTGCCCAAAAGTTAAGGAAATACCAGCTTGAATGGGCATCTAATGGCCAAATCTGGAACATCTTGAGCATCAAAACAAATAATAATAACAATTTATAACCCTTTGAATAAAAATAGGAATCTCTGAACTCATACTGATCTAAATAAATGAGTGGGAAAACGGGGATGAGAGAAAGCATTTCCTTTAGTAGAATTCTAGCTAAAAGATATGGAAGGAATGATGGAATTTTAAAGCTTTGGCAACCATCAGAGTAATAAATAATTTAGCCAAGAAATAGCAATGGAAACTGGTGGATGAAAAGTCAATGGGGAATGGTTTATTAACATAGTCCTAAAGTATTTATTAGTTACAAAGAGAAGAAGAATCATTTTACAGGGGAGAATTTGGTAGACACCACCTTAATCAAGTGATCAAAGTTAACATCACCAAAAATGGGACAAATCAAAATTGTGTACCACCCAATAGGATGAAATGAGAGCACAGCCTCACTTTGGTGCTATTTCTCTCAGAAATGCATGACCTCCCAACCTGAATCTAATCATGAGGAAACATGAGAGGCATTTATCAAGTAATTTGTCATCTTCAAAAAAGCCAGTCATATAGACCTGGTGTGGATACACACACACACACACACACACACAATGGAATAGTATTCAGCCATAAAAAAAAGAATGGAATCTTGCCATTTGCAACAGCATGGATGGAGCTAGAGAGTATTATGCTAAATGAAATAAGTTAGTCAGAGAAAGACAAATACCATATGATTTCACTCATATGTGGAATTTAAGAAACAAAACAAATGAGCAAAGGGAAAAAAGAGAAGCAAACCAAGGAACAGACTCTTAACTAAAGAGAACAAACTCATGGCTACCAGAGGGGAGGGGGGTGGGAGGATGAGTGAAATAGTTGATGGGGATTAAGGAGTACACTTGTGTGATGAGCACCGAGTAATGTGCAGAATTGTTGAATCACTATATTGTACATCTGAAACTAATATAAAACTGTATGGAATTAAAATGAAAAGCTCAGGAAAAAAAAAAAAAAGCCAGTCATGGAAGCTGAGGAGTCACTTGCATGACAGCCAAATGCAACAGTTGATACTCAACTGGTCCTTTTCCAATAAAGGGCATTACTGGGACAACTGGTAAAACCTAATTGAGGATCTCGGGGGTGAAGTGATGGTAATGCATCAATGTTTTCCTGAATTGGTGGTTATATTGTAGTTATGCTGGAGAATGTCCTTGCTTTTAGGAAATACATACTAAAGATTTCATAGGTAATGTAGACAATGTACTTCCAAATAAATAACTCAGAAGAAACAAGTTCTATGTATTATTCTTACAAGTCTTTTGTACTTTGAAAGTATTTCAGAATATAATGCATGATATGGAAAGTATCACAGTGAAGAACTGTGATATACAGAAAGCTATTTTAGTAATGCTGCCACTGAAAACATTTTATTTAAAGGTAGTCTTTTAAATTTTATTCTTCCATTTTTTGAGAATTAACTAGATGAAGTTAATGCTAAGCTATTCTATAGCTAGAATGTTTATTATTATTCAGGTAATGTGTTAAAATACTTTGTTTTGCTATTTAAGTTATTAAATTCTTTGGTCTATTTGGATTCAGTGTGTAGCCCACACAATATATAAAATAAGGTTCCCATTTTATTTTTAGGGTTTTTTTTTAAGGAGTAAGGGACAGAGGGAGAGAGAGAGAATCTTAAGCAGACTCCACACCCAGCACAGAGCCCAACACCAGGCTCGATCTCATGACCCTGCGATCATGACCTGAGCCAAAATCAGGAGTCAGACACTTAACTGACTGAGCCACCCAGAAGCCCCTAAAATAAGGTTCCCATTTTAAACACACGCTCACACACACACTTCCCATGATGCCCAAATCACATGGCTAGAAAGTGAGAGGATTCGAATTGGATCTCCCTTCTGCCTCCAGTTCCTCCCTCACATAACAGGGAGCGGGATTTGGCTAGGATGGTGCCAACTGTGGGTGAACGGATGCAGCAAGGGCCCCACTGTGGGAAGGACTGCTGTGTGTAAGACTATTCAAGCAGAGAGCCTGAGATAATTCCAATGCAGAGGGCCATCCATGGCTATCAGATCCACAGTCATTAGGGGGGAAAACATGACATAAGGGAAAGCTATCTTGCATTTTAGAAACCCTGCTCTGACATTTATTGGCTTATATTTTTCTACAGTTTTAAGGAATGAAAAAAAATCAACAGAGTTTTTTGTTTTGCTGTCTAATGTTGTTGTTTGCTGATTGATTTTGAAAAGCCTTTCAGCTATACATCCACTTTTGAGGTCAACCCAGGCCTCCCTCCTCTTTTGTCCTACACCCTGTACCTTCGCCCTGGGGGTCAGCTCTCTGACCCCTGAAAGCATTGGAGTTTTCGAGTCCAGACTTACACTTTGGCCTGGGTAATTGTGAGATTAAATGAGCCTCTGTATGTAAAGCTACGGGGCCTACCAGCCCCTTCTTCTGCTTAGGTTTTGCAAGAAGTTGAAGATGTCGGTCCCGGCTGGGCACCCACACCAGTTGGGAAGATGACTTGTCTTATGCTTTTGTCTTTCAGGAAAGCGGGTATGCCTTGGAGAACAGTTGGCCAAGTCTGAGCTGTTTATTTTCTTCACTTCCCTTGTGCAAAAATTTACCTTCAGGCCCCCCAACAATGAAAAGCTGAGCCTGAAGTTCAGAACGGGCCTCACCATCTCCCCAGTCAACCACCAACTCTGTGCAGTCCCTCGGTCGTGAAGTTGTTGAGAGGGAGAGGAGAAAGGAAAGCAAGAAGTGCCGTGTCCTCTGAAGGCACTGGCGCCTGCTCAGAAAGGAGGGGATGGAATGGAAAGTGACTCTGAGGGACGATCGTAGGAACTGAACTCAGAGGAAGCATGATCCAAATCCCAGCCTTGCTAGCAGATCTTTTATGTTGTGAATGATTTACCTTTTCATCCAAGAGATGAAAAGCAGATAATGATTCCTCCTCTAAAGGAATAGCTGCTGTGAGAATCAGAGGGAATAATGGACTTTGAGTGGTTTGGGAAACCATACAGCTTATCATAAAAATTTTAGCTGAAATCGGCGTCTTTCCTGCTTGCTTCTTTAGAGGTGGTTTTGCTTCTAGCCTGTGGAGGTGGCTCAGGTCACAGTGGTGCCAAATGATTGATAAGAGTTAGAATTTGGACGCTGGGGCAGCCAGAGGCTGACCACAAATGCTCTCACACTTGGTGGCACTATGCAGGCTTTATTTTGCTCCCACCTTAGAATGGCCCTCTGGGAAGTCAGCCAGGCAGCTATCACTCCCTGTTTATATTCAGGTTTCTATGAGAAGGCAGTTTCTGTGGTTTACCTAACCTAAGGAAACACTACCTTGGCTTTGGAATCAGGACCAAGCAGAGTGTGACTACTACCAACTAAACCCAGGGAACAGGTTTGGGGAACAATGTGGAATTATGTTCTGTCCTTAAGGGTACCTCTTTGTCTTAATTCCTCTTTCAGGCATCTCTTCTCAAGCTGTTCACATTGGATTTAACTATGGGGTGGAGGTGAACTTTTCTTGCAAATAGATGGTCAGATTTTGAATGGTTAAGTGTTACCAGCCTAAATTCAACTGGGCCCTGGTGCAATATTTTATAGTAGGGAGCCAGAAATGCCAGAATCCTGCCCAATCCTTCTGCATGTACTTGCTGAGGGGAGACAATGGCCAGAAAATTGAAGGCCAGGTAACACTGATGGTCCACAGAGTTTTGACGCCAACCCCAATGCAAACAAACACAAAAACACCTGCCAAACTGGACTAAACCATATGGAAGATCTTTTTTCCTAAGGTAGAGACCTTGTGTGCTTCTGCCTGCTCTTCTGGAACTGTGCTACCACCATTTAAACAGGCCCATGTAACCCCAATGGATGATGAGAAATACATGGCCCAGTCATTGCTGTTGCAACCCTAGCTGACATCTGGCTGACCACCAGAGCTGTTCTAAGACCATCTGAGATGAGCTGGACCCAAGCATATCCAGCAGCTGAATGCAAACGCATGAGTGATCCCAGCTGAGATGAGAATTGCCCACCTGAACCCAGCCTAAACTGCCAACCTTAGATTTATGAGTTAAATGGTTATTGTTTTAAGCCACTATGTTTTCAGATGCATTGTTACACAGCAATTGCTAACTAATACATTCCTTGAGGGCAGGAATGGTATCTTATTCAAGAACAGTGCCTGGAACATGATAGGGCTCAAAAAAAAATAGCAAATAAATAAATAAAATAAGGTAGAACAATTATGGGCTGGTGCTAGATTGGACCTATTACTCCAAATCAGATCTCTGCCACTACCCCTCTGTCCTTGTCACCTCATTCCAATGACCTATTTCTCAGTTCTCATGCCAACTTCTGCATAATCCTTCAGGAACACAGTGGAGGAGTGCAAGCTTGTTCTTACCTCACTGTTCCATTTCCCAGGTGGCTGTTCCATTTCCCAGGTGGCTTTCTGGAATAGGGCCACCTATTCCTTTTCCTCATGCTTACTTCTCAAGAATAGGCTGATGTCCCTGGATGGGTATTTTGTACTATCTGTGTTTTTGTGCATTCACCATGAGCTATGTGTTCTGCTCTGAAAAGCTAAGAACTTTTCCCTCTGCTTTTGAAGCAGATAAGAAATTAAGCAAGAATAAAGGGTCAAATGCAAAGGGCCACTTTCAGGGGCTGGCATGGAGTCATTGATGATGCCGTTGCAACAATCAGGGTCAGAACAGAGGCCTCTCTCAGTCCAAATAGTTCAAAGGTCCAAAAATATCACGGCTCTGATGTACATAAAACAACATTAAAAGATTCAAGGGGGTGGAGGAGTGTAGCACAGAGAGTCAGATGAACTGGGAGGCAGGCCTGAATTCAGTTCCAGGTTTTACCATTTATTAACTTCCACCTGTGAATTGAACAGGCTACTTTACTTTCCTGAACTCATATCCTAATCTGTAAAATAGAATTAAATGATACCTACTCTGGTAAATTAGGAAACTGATCAAAAGAGCCACTATCCCTCTCTGGGTCGCCTTTCTTTGTGGTACTCCTCCCGGTGGGACAATTATGTATAATTGCCCTGATACATCCAAGAGTGGCCATGTCAGTTGCTCGATAAAATGAGCAAAAGTTCCACAGATTCAACATGTTTCTTTTTTCTCTGCCATGAGACCAGCAATGTCCCAGATAAAGGTCTGTCAGCCTACAACCAGTTGACAAAGACATAAAGCCGAGTGACAGCTGATTCAAGATGGACATGCAATAAGACAAACCTATTTTTTTGTGAGCCACTAAGACTTTGGGATTGTTGATTATGCAGCATAAGTTATCCTAAACTGTCTGATACATCAGCATTTTAATTGAGAGGACCATACATATTTATGTTTGTAGTTACTGTGAACACCAAATATGCATGTGTGTGTCTCTATATATACTATTATATATATAATATATATACGATATATAAAATGTTACTTTAATACATATTAAACATACAAATTTATATAATATACCATATATATTATATAATTATTATATGTTATATTAAACAAAGTCACAGTGTGTTTGGCATATAATAGATTAAATTGTAGTTGTAATGTTACAGTTATTTTAGACAAAAACTTTAGTTATTTCTACACCTTTTTTCTATACAATTTGATCTTTTCCTCGCTAGGTTCACAGAACAATATATTCTCCCTATTGACTACAGGATCATCATAAATCCTTTGATGGGCTGCCGCACTCTGAAATCCCAGTGTGCCATCATGGGTAGTCTAGGAGAATGGCACCCTCTGCATTTGGACTGTGCACGGCCGTATGTGTGGGCCTGCTCCTTGGCTGGGTGTATGATAATTTTCGTGATCTGAAACTTGCTCACTTCATCAATTACATCTTTTAGTATTTCTGCCAAACAAGTGAACTCCTATCAATTCCCTAGACAGACTAGGTCCTCTGACATCTTCATGTTTTTAGATAAGCAATTTTTTTCCTGTAAGAAGTATCTCATGACACATGGCAGACCCAGCCTAGACATCAACTCTTCAATGACATTTTCTTGACTCTCAGCCAGTTGGTTGCTCCCTCCTTCACTCTCTGAGGATTTTATTCAAAAGTTTTCATTTTCTTTATCCATGTAATCTCCCAGTTACACTGAGCTTTTTGGAGGCATTTTGCCTTGCTCACACAGGCTCAGTTCCTAACAGTTTTGGTGCATAGTAGATGCTCAGTATATGTTTGTTGGACCTATAGGATGGGGGAGAGCAGCTGAGTGACTAAGGCAGAGCAGGGGCACTAAAAGTGCAGGGTGTCAGACATTTCCTGCTGCTATGTAGCAAGTTTCTGAGCTCTGTGTGCCTTAACTTCACATTCAAAGACTGTACGCTAAGGTCCCTTCTAGTTCCAGAAATCTGACCTGTGGAGGGATCTTCTGAAATGGCAAAGCAAGGACCTTCAAAAAGCCACTCCTCCATAAAAGCGCTAGAAAACTAACAAAAGTTGTCAAAATTCACATTTCCAGAACTCTGAAAAGTAACCAAAGTCTTGCAACAATCTGAGCATTTAAGGTGGAAAAAAAAAATCAAAATAAAAGAGCTGGATCTCAGTAAGAACAGCAAGCCCTGTGGCATTTTAACTTACCCTATTCCCATTCTCTTCTCCCCAGCTCTGCAGTCTCCTTAAAAATCAGCAACCTCACAGCCATGGGGCTGAGAAAACCAAGCACCAAGTAACCGCTGGCGGGAGTAGGACGGGTTCGGAGCACCAGACAGCTGTCACTATTTGACCTGTCTGGCAGTTCCCTGAAAAGCCCCATTCTCAGGGCTTGTCTTTATTTGACCTGACTCAAAGTTGAGTCTGTGTGAACCACACTGTAAGGCATTTGTTGAAAAACATCGGTAACAATTGTGCAACACACTGCAGTAACCAGGGTGGTGATACCAGTTGGTGCTCACAAGAGGATTAAAAGGGAAAACTGGGGAAGGACATGTCCACATGTCCATGGGAGCTTCAAACAGCTCTAATATATTTCTGGGAATCTAAAAGGCCAGGCACGTGTAAGGATTGTGTGCCTGGCCAGGAAGGACCTGAGAAGGCCCTAATCTCTCATTCTGGCTGAACTTGAGGCTCTGCAGAAGCAGGAAATTAAAGCTAAGACAGAGTTGTAAGCTACCTGCTAGTGTGTCCAAGATGTAACCCAACTCATATGCAGAGCCCTGAGACATTTACTGGTTCAAGGCACTTAAGGAAACCTCTGTCCAAACATGACTGAATGCAGTACTAACAGAGCAGAGCATCCAGTGGCTGCACATGATGGAGAATAGAAATTTTACAGAATTCGTCCCAGAAAGTCACCAAACAAGAAGCAACAAAAACGACAACAGTAACAGTAACAGACCTGGGTGGTTCCTGATTTCCAGAGTTTCCACATCATATCATTTAAAATGTCAAATTTTTAACAAACCAATTATGAACCAGGTAAAGAAATAGCAAACTATGGCCGACACACAGGATACAAAGAAAACAACAGAAATTCCCTGAGGACACCCAGAAATTGGATTTATGATACAAAAAACAGGATAAGCTATTTTTTAACAACTTTAAAATATTAATAAATTCTAATTAACATTTATTTCAATTTAAGAGGCTTTAATGAGACATTTTTGTATCTATTTATAGTGTATCACTTGTTTTTATATGTAAGTATGCATTGTGAAAAAAATCACTACAATCAAGCCACATAATTTATCCATCATCTCTATAGTTAACTTTGTGTGGGGGGGAGGGTGGGCAGGGGGTTAAGATTAGCCTCTTAGAAATTTCAAGTATGAAATGCAATATTGTTAACTGTCATCACCATGATGTACATTAGATCTCCAGAACTTATTCATCCCACATAACTGAACCTTTGTACCTTTAACAAATACCACCCCATTTCCCCCACCCTCCAGCCCCTGGGCAACCAGTTTTACTCTCTGTTTTTATGAGTTAGGCATTTTAGATTTCACATTTAAGTGATATCATGCAGTATTTGTCTTTCACTGTCTGTCTTATTTCACTTAGTATGATGTCCTCCAGGTTCACCCTTGTTGCAAACGGCAGTGTTTCCTTCTTTTTTAAAGGCTGAAAAATACTCCTGATTTCTTCTGGTTGCAATAGGAAAGGACTGTCTTCCATTTCTATTAGCCCTTTACTTTCTAGCCTGCTTTATTCTTTCTTATGGATAGCACATAGTCCTAGGTTTTTCAATCCATTCAGCTGCTCTATATCTTTTGATTGAAAAGCTAAATCAATTTTCATTTAAAATAACTATTGATACAGAAGAATTTATTATTACCCTTTTGTTAAATGATTTGTTTTGTAGTTCTTTTCTTCTTCTCTCCTGCTGTCTTCCTTTGTGTATTTTTTTTTCTATTGATAGGCTTTGGTTTTGTCCTCATTTTCTTTTATGTAACTTCTGTAAGTATTTTTCTATGAAGCTTACATAAACTATCATAACAATTTCAAGTGGGCAACCTCACTTATTAACAAATCTCTACACTTTAACCTCTTTTCCCCCAACATTATATGTTAATGATGTCACAATTTACATCTATTTATATTGTGTATCCATTAATATCATTTATAGTTGCTATTAATACTTTG